ATTCAGTACATTTAACAAGCTACGACCCTTGAACCCAGATTACCTTATCTCGCGACGATAATGCAGATAGCTGCTATCAACATCGGCTAGGAAAATGCGCAGTTAAAGAGGCAAATCCACAGACGAAAGGTCGGTCGAAAAGATTGTTCAAGGCCTAAACCTCCGAAGCAAGAGATCCAACCCAACTTTATCCGACACATTTTGTGACCATCGGTTTGGTCCATTCCGGGAAGGCAGCGACTGACACCTACGTAGCTAAATGCTTCGGCGTTTCTGCGTTCTACTTTCCCTCTCCATTTGTCTACCTCCTGTTTTCACAAGTGTTAACAGCGGACACACGTCTGTTGGACACGGGGATTAGTTAAATTGAACGTTCAGGATTCCTACGCTGCACCGGTTATCGCTTTCTTCTTTTCGCTAAGGGTGTATCGATATAATCGATTGTGTCAGTGATATGAATGTGATGTCTCTCATTGGCCGTTAGCCATAAGCAGTGGGATGCGTTTTACTTTGTCCACCTACCCACTGCGTCACCTAAAAATATATACTTATCGTCAATCATACTAACGCATCAATACGTGGCATATCATCTTTGTCCTTTTATACTGATTCTCAGACTACTTTTTCAATTGCTGCTTTAAATCGCTTTACCACATTCATCTTAATTGGTTCTCTTCTTCCCTGTACCGCATGCCGCTTTACACTAGCTGAATCATCTCTGAGGCACCCTTCGCTGTTTTGCTAATTACTTCCCACGTATATACCACCCTTCTTTATAGCCTCTCTGCCGGCCTTTTGCGGCAAGCCACTTATTCCACCGCCCGACTTGGTATCTACACCAGTCTGTTCGAATTCTTCTCCGGTCCCGAACAAAAGGCGCCAAGCTTTCCGATCAAATTGGGTTGCGCAATAACTTCTGGGGTCGTTGGATCGTTTATCGGCACCCCTTCTGAGGTTTGCCTGATTCGAATGACCTCCGATGGACGGTACTTTATAACTGAACTTACAACTAATACTTACACACGACTCTTCCACCAAATTGTGGCTGTTTTCTGCTCACTGTGTATCAATTAGCATAACGGCCTAGATTTCAGCGCGTTAGATGCATCTGAATCCACATACGAACATTTTAATACTACGGTGTATATATTCATCTATTGTTGATGGGATATCTTTATTATGTATCATCGCCATATACCTAGTTGTTACTGTTGTTTGGTAATCTGCACTAACAGGCAAGTTATTAGGTCGCCCTGATTAGTTGCTCATAGCTGTTTCATCCCAGCAAGTGCGGGTTCTGCAGTTTTCAAATCCTTGCTCAACAATCATGTGCCTAAAACTCAAGTATCCAAGCACGTAACGCTGTTCCCCATGTGACTCTCATTGCTTTTAGTTCAACTTCAGAATGCTTTTTGATGTGTGCCGGAGTCTCTCCACTGCTACCCTCGTCGTTAACTTTGACTGCCACAACAGTGCTTTAGATGCTATTGTAATAGTCTAGCGATCTTCGCGTTGGACCGGCCGCCCATTGGACGTGGATGTCATTCCAGAAGCTACCCGCATATTACCTCTGAGTCTGAACTACCTCATGAAACAAGTGTTTTTTACGAACCATCACGAGCGTCCGTCAAAGACAAGGTCACAAGCTGTGTGCTTTTAGAACAGATAACAGAAGCCTCGACGTTTATAGGAACATCTGTATTCTTTAGATTCATTTGGCATCCGGGTTACATACAGCGTTTAGCTTACCTATAAAACCGGCCCAACTTGCCTCGTATGACCGTTCTTTCGTTACATTCAGCTTCGATAGTTCTGCAGCTAACCATCGGTGTCACTGCCACCACCGCTATTACCAATGACCAGTTTATCGCAAAGGCTTCAGTATTGATTGCCAAATCTCTCCATGTCCCTGAAGGGTCACATCAACTTTGCTCATCTTGTTCATTCTTGGCCTCGGTCGCCCTTTTCCTCTCTCAAAGAGCAGAGTCTACACTGTGATCTCGCGAAGGGTTTTATATCACAGACCTTATATGAACCCTATATATCTCCAGCTTTTAGAATCGAGGTGAATTTGCAATCTTACCAGCGTATATTGACGACGTCTCACTAACAGCTAGGTCTGTCACTCAGCTCTATTCTTCCACACCACAGCTCCCTGTTTTCCACAGATCGGTAACTGCCTCAGAGTTTCTCCACTGTTTGGTTGTGCATGTGTATGAAAAATTTCGAATCTCCAAGCTTGAGTCCTAGACATCAAGTTTACCCCCAAGAATTCTGCGTGACGTGCTTCTGAAACCTTCCTAACTCTTTGTATGGTCCCCTGATTCCCTATCTGTATGTCACAATATTCAAACTTGTGCGCATACCCATTTAACATTACACCATATACATGAATGCTTCTTGGCTGTCGGTCACTTGCTCCTTTCGCCGCTCGTCACAGTCTGCCGTTGGGGGAACGAAGAAACTACACCAATGTTTTCAACGCTCTCATCCGGATCTTTCGTGAAGAGGGACTGACGGCATTGTGGAGGGTAAGACCTTTCAATTTGCATATTCATGCTTCAAACTTTCCTCGTTATTCTTATGGTCTCATTTCTATGATAGTAACGCACAGTATGGCAAATTTAATTTGTTATCGCGGTACTGCTTGCCAAACCAGGTAACACTAGCGCGCACCATTTGGTCTATCTGATTGTCAGTTACTGTCAACGGCTTGCGATTTCCGATTTCTCAAAGCGGCCGACTGTTTTCACCTTACTTCCCCCTATTTTTTTACCTTTGTGCCTCCACTGCAGCGTAATTGCACGTTTGTTTATTAGTACCTTCATTTTTTCTCTATGTTTCCTTTGTTAGGGCGCCGTTCCCACAATGGGGCGCGCGGCGGTCGTCAACGGTGCGCAGCTCGCATCGTACTCCCAGACCAAGCAGCAAATTCTTGACTCTGGTGAGTTTGATATGCTCAGCGCTCGTCTGTGTAACGTTTCCCAGTCACCTTCAGAATGTCATCCATTTGCTTTAGGCACTCGCCCGTCGTGTGAGGTATATCATGAGAGGCCACAGTGAAATCTGACAAATATCCAGTTTTTCTCTCAAAGAAGCAAACAGTTGCTAGCTAATGGGCATTGTCTTTGTGATTCCCCTCCGTGTTTACATCTGTCTGATTGTTCCGTTCTTGATCGGGCAACTAGATCATTCATTCACGTAGTTACTCTTCTCTTCCATGACTGTACATGTTGACACCGATGTGCACCTACTGTTTTATTTCGTCTATCCAAAAGTAGATAACGATGTCGCCTTTACATGTCCTCCATTAATCCTACTGCACAATCCCCCGCCAAATTCCTACTCGATCACCAGGCAAAAGAATTGCTCACCCGTCATGTTTCGCATCAGAACGACTAACTGACTAGGTCCGATCTACAGTCTGTCGCTGGTCTTTTTTTGTTTTCAGCGTACAATTCCACGCTAGCGGTTGTCGATTTGATTTCGTTTGCATACTTCAGTTTGGACCAGCACACTTCATTCACTTGATTGTAGTTCAGACATTTGCGTCATTGTTTGACATATTCGCATTGTTACTTGCTTGATCGATCTTCTTCCGGCCTGGCATCTGTTTGGTGCTGCAACCACTTATTTCAATCCCTTCATCTAATACGAACTACTTATGCGGTACCTTACAGCAACTTTTTCAGCCGTTACTACTAAAGGCCTTTAATGATGCAAGTGATAGTGTTGGATATGTTCTTTTGCATGAGCTCCAGGTTAACGCGATCGCGCTTATTTCCTGCTGCAATCTCAAGCAGAATCAGAGGTCAGCGGCACTGACACAAAACCTTGTTTAAGAATGAGCTACCGAAAATAGTGCAAGTGGTTGCTAAGTCAACCCTCAGGATGTTCAACTTTAGTACAGTGGTCAGCCGACAAAAGTAACGTCGCTCGACGCACTTGCATTTTCTCCAAACTTCTTGATGTTTCTGCTAAGCATTATTGGTTCAACTTGTTTTCTCATTGAAATAACTGTTTTTCCGGAGTTTTTGATTTTTCCTGGACAGATTGGCAGCTTTATCGCGTTAAATTGGAATACTGAGGTGCACTGTTCGCGATTAGGGAGACAGTCGTAATACAAACCTGTGTAGACCGTATCTTATGTCTTCACAAACAGTCACTGCAACCTGTGTTCTCCTGAGATACTCACCCTTTCTCACACCGATTACCTTCTAGGTTTGTTTCAAGATGGAATCGGGGTGCACTTTATGGCCAGCATGTTCAGCGGCTTTGTGACGTCAGTGTTCTCTCTACCTGTGGACATCATCAAGACGCGTATACAAAATATGAAAACGATTGACGGTCAGCCGGAATATCGAAATATGGCGGTACGTTTGCTACCTATACTAGGGTTATCGTTGATTGCGTCTTACCAATGCGCGCTGTAGGCACACAACTTAACCACCCTGTTGCACGGAAGCTAGAGTCGTTGGCTAGGTACTTAACTTCAGTTTAACTACTGTCGCATTTATCTCCTTAGCACTTGGATTCAAGAAGGTTGTTAGGTTGGAAAACTCAAGTCATCAATTCCCTGTATACGAATTCATCCAAACACCCTCTTACCAGTCGATAGCGGTACACAAAATGAGTTGTCATGGTCCAAATAGGAACATATAACCCTCGAACTTTTCCTCTTAAAACTAATGAAGCACGCTCTGATGAGTTGCCATTGTTGGCTAAGTTAATTACCTTGATTGATCTTTCAACCGGACCGTAGCCTGAATGATCACAAGTCTGCCTTGTAATCCGATGTCGCGGTTTCGAGCCTGCGTAGGGACCGGGCAACCCTCGTGGTATCCTTTGCACACGTGCGATTGGTAGTGGTTGCGCGACATCGAAACGTCGGTACTGCGTGCCGGCGTACAGCTGATACCTTTTTCGACTGATAGACTTTGTTCTTTAATCAACTCCGTGTTGTCTCACTTTTATGCCGAGTGGCCATCGGAACGAACACAAAGCTTCTCTGGTTGCCCTGGTTATTTCCTTCGCATACTGCCTAATCGGTTACCACAGCGTGTATTGTTTATCAACAATTCACCTGGCCGAGCGGGATTCCGAGGTGGTTGCTCGATGCAGGGGCGAGAAGCAGACATAATGCGTATCATTCCTAACTCATCATCGTCAGTAGTCGGAGGTCCTGTCGAGCAGGGCACAATCAACAATGCAGGGACATTCTTCCACTCATCTGCTTACTTCTGAAGAAAATACAACCTCTGACTACTTTGGTTTTTTATTCATTCTTGTTATTTCTATTTATCGTTCATTAATCTTATTTCCTGAAGACTTAATTCAAGGCAACTGTATCTACCGCACCTCGGTTAATGCCAATTGTATGTTGTGGTTTCCGCTGGCTGTACGGATAACCTTCTGCTACCACGCAACTGTGCGGCGGACCTTCCAGATCAGAAGACAAAGACCTCATGTGAGAACTGTATTGCGCACCCGGCAAGCGGACTAAGCGGATCGAAACAACAGTTAACAGGAATGGCGTAGCGCTCACTGGCGGGCTTCAAGCTGCAAAATCCTCATTGGCAGCGCTCAAGGTGAAGCGTCATCATTAGCCCGCTCTCATTGGTTGGCCAATTAGCTTCGGTTTGCGTCATGGTCGACTTCCGGGCTGATAGGAAAGGGGTGCCTGTCCCGTTAACAGTGTGCTTTTGTTGTATGTTTACAGTTATGCCTCTTGCTATATTCGGATGAATGAGGAATTGCGCGTTGTCCACTGTGGCGATATGTAACATCTAGTTCGACAAGGTATTACAATAGTTTTGTGAATGAGACCTCTTGTTTGTGCAATGTTCTTGGAAAATACTGTCTTAATTTGAACTATGAATGTGTCTGTGGCATGTGATTTTATCTGTATATCTATGTGCGTTTGGATGGTGTGCGGTCAATGATGTGGATTGCTTGTGTGGTTTGCGTTTTGCCACCCAACATCTGTAGGATTGCGATGGAGTTGTGCGCCAACCAATTATGTGCGTTCGCAAGTTACCCGGCGGCTACACACTGGTTGGTGTGTAATGTCCTCTGGCTTGCAATATCAATGATGTAAGTATCCGTCCCAGCGTGGTCTGGTGCGTGTATTCTGCCGGACACAGGCGTAATCGGCTTGCAACACCTTCACTGGATGGTGTGCTCGGTTAGTCGCAATGGGGACTTCGATTTGTGTGTGCAGGTACGCGAGCTATATGCTTACTCACGCTGCTGGTGTTCTTCGTGGATTGTGTGTAGTGTCGATGTGTGGTCATGTGTTGTGGATCATTGCGGGATTCGTTTGGTGCGTTTTCAAGGCGGCTAATCTACGGGGTTTGGACTGTTGTTTTGTGAAGTCGCTGCTGTTTTTTATTGTGACGGTATGGAAGTATTTGGGTGTTGCTCCTCCCTGCACTGCACACCACGACCGCGGTTTTGTCCTGATCTGAACTCATCAGGTGAAGATAGCCTGAGCCGGGGTGAAACTCAGAACCTAGTAGTTCACGGCTGACACCCTGAACACTGTTACTGAGATCCGCGAGCCACGCTTGGCACAGCGGATAGCAGTTTAAACTTGAATTTAGCAAACACGCTGTGTGGTGGTTGGGCTGCGACTCGCAACCTCTATTGAGACCTCGGATCACTTTAAGGTAAACCTCGGTCATTCCGATCGCGAGGACCGTATCCGGAATGGAAATGTAGTGTGACGGTGTTTGATGTGTTTTGGCTCCTTGTCATATGATTTGCATAGATGCTGTAGTGTTGGTTTCCATTTTCTTGAATTGCAATTGTGTTTTTCTGAAGGTAACGAGCTTGTCTTGTAATCCGAGGGTGCGAGTTCGAGCCTTCGCAATGGCAGGGTGATCCTCGCAGTCTCCTAGACCCAAGTGCGACCGGCGGTCGTTGCGTGGCAGCAAAGCGTCGGTACTATGTACCGGCACATAGCTGATGCCTTAGCCTTACGTACTGATGTTTATCTTATTGATGTTTACACGTTTATATTCCGGAGGTTACTAGTTAGTTCATTTTCGGTATGTACGACTTCCGTCCTTCATTTCTCACTTATATTATTACTGGTCTATCAGATAACTGTAATCGGTTTGCATGTTCCGTGCTTCATTCGTAGACTCGAGGTTCCGTTGTGTTCGCTGCATCCGTGTCACCATTGTGCTGTTAAATCCTGTTGGATCTGTAGAGGTAAGGGCTGCTATAGGGGGAGCAGCATCTCAGTGTATTATCGGAGGACATTTGCATTTTAAGGCAATACGCCGTTATTGTGTTTCCGTGCGGATAACCGACAGGTCTATTGCGAATTTCAGACCCGCTACTTCCCAATTCAGAAGACAACGGCTTTGACAAAACCATCAATTGCATCCCTAGAAAAGTCGCCGTTTTTCAGATCAGGAGGCTGTGATTAAATAGCTAAACTATAGGGATTCTAGTGGTGAGCTTCTTGTTCTTCCAGGTACAGGAAAGCACTCATCGACTGGCTTGAAACCAGAAATACTCTCCTTGGGCGCATCTAAAGCGAAGTTCTCACATTGGCTCAGTGGAAGGTAGAATAGCGTTATTGGTAAAGAACCCGCGGACTTCAATCTGTGTCTGTTCAATCCTCTTCTGAGGCTAGGTGCATGGATACGAGTTGAAAGAAAGCGATTCCAGCTTAATGAATAACGAATCAAGCAAGCGTTCACTATTCCGCGGCAAGACTTGGCTATCAACAATGAAAATTCTTCCTATCTGGTTGACTTCGAGTACGAGAATCTGGTTATTTTCAAGGTGCTGGTGTCGCCGGATTGTTCGGGAGAAAGTAAGCATTGCCTGGAACATCCACTATTTTAGCGATTAATCGATTAGTAACGATTATCGCATCGATTTCGAACGTTCTGGAATGTTCTAAGTTCTGCACCTGACTACCAACTACCTGACATCTCGGTCAAATCTATGGGGAACCACTAACCTTGGTAGTTGACTTTTCAATTCTAGAAGTCGGAAGTCTGTAAGAGACCTCTAAATGCAGCCAAGGTCCGCGGCGATTATAGTGTTTTGTTGACGGCGGTTAAGACGTTATTTTGTCAAGGTCATTGGTGTTCTGCACTTTCCTTCGTTTGGGCTAGAGGTTTAGTGGAGCAGTAAAGTGCCAATGTCGAAATCGAATCTAGTGAGAAGATTATAACACGGATGTTTGGTGGTTCTGATTTATGTAGCACTGTTTTTCATCTGTGAGTGATATTTACGCTGCGTTGTGTGCTGATGAGGCGCAGACCACGTTTTCTGGCACGTGTGATGAGCGCTCGGAATTACGAGCTTCTTGGGTCTATGCTGTGTGCGGTCTTAGGACGAAATCTGTCACTGTGTATGGACGAGCACGTAAGTATCCACATTAGTGTCGACTTCGTGCTGTTTTGAACTTTCCCCTGATAGTGACGGGTGTTCTGCGTTCATTGGATTTCATTCACCCCGTCCTTCTGCCTGTGTGTGTGTAAACGTGACCGGATAAATTTTAGGCACTTTTATATGCTCTTGTGTTGTATCATATGCTTTTGTTGGATTCGTTGTTACGGTTATCGTGTTTGCTTCTTAGTGCAGGTTGTGTTCGGTCGACACTCCATTTTGTGTCGCATTTGGTATGGTGCACAGGACTTTTGGGTTTTATAATAATAATAATAATAATAATAATAATAGATATGTTTCTCATGGAGTGAGAAACTGTGGCCATATTTGGCATGAGTCATATTTTATAGAAATACTTATGCATGAATGGTAAACATTTATGCAACTTTCATTGCTTTTGCAGTTTCAAGGGTTTGTATTAACTCACAGGTGTGTTTCAACGCAATGAGCACTATTTGGAATAGTGGTTGGTAACAACACTAGGGGTATATCACACAGTATGAAATATTTTTCTCATTATATGTTATCAGGCACTTATTGGTACATCGACGTTCCAGTTTTCGTAATGTTTGTATCTTTTGAGTGTGTATGTATTTGCATGTAGGGCAGTGTATTTGTCATGACTAGGTCATATCCTCCGTATGCTTGTTGACTGTCACACTAATCGCCGTTGCTGCACCAAGCTAAACGAAACCGCGAGGTGGCCATTCGATGAAGTGACATAAAGTCATGCAGAAACTTACTAAAAGACTTGATCAGGCTGGTGCGTGCCATCTTCGTGGACGGGGGTATCGAGATGGTCCACACCAATGGTTAGAGACCGAATCAGACATGCCGCAGTCACGCAGTCAGTAGCGTGCTGCATTCAGTTTCTTGCATCCAGCTGTTAATCTTTGTTCCATCTCAAACACTTCTACTTTCCTACGCATGTTTTCCATGTTGGTCGTTTTGTGCTTGTCATCTTGATGTACCTGGCGAAAATGTGTGTGTACTGGAAGTCATTCACTTAGTGTGTGTGAAACTAGCTATGATGTACGACTTGTATTAGGCATGTGTGTGTTGGTATTACATGTTTGACATGTGTGTTTTGCGCTAAACAGTTGTATGCGTTCGCAAGCTCCGCGACCAGCTGCACCCTGATTGGTGTGCTGTGACCTCCGGCTTGCAACATCGAACATGCAAGTATCCGTTCCAGCATGGTCTAGCAGCGTTTGTGTTGTTGGACCCAGGCCTGACCGGCTTGCAACACGTTTGCTTGCTCTTGTACACCATTGGTTACGGTGGCGATATCGATCAGCGTTTGTGTGTGCTGTGTATGTTTATTCCCGTGGTTTCTGTGATGATCTGTGGATTGTGTGTGGTGTTTGCATGTGGACACGTATTGAAGAACCGCTTATGTCGTGTTCTGATCGTGATCAATATCTGTTGTAGGGAATTGTGTTTGTTGCGTCACTTGAAATCCAACCATCCTTGATGTGGACACCACCGATAGAGTGAGCGAGAGAGTGAGACAGAGAAATGCGATTCCACCTGTATGAATGCGTATGTGAATTGTTGAGTGGGTGATGCTGACTTGAACTGTGCCCTCTTATGGCTAGTGTTTTGTGCATTTTGTTTGTATTGTTTAGCTACTCCACTCCTACTCGGATTCGTCGTCGTACACGGGACTATGCGCTTGCGACAAAGAAGTGGCCACTTCTGCAATATCCTTCTGTGTTTTCTGGCTTGGCCTATGCATTAGTGCCATACCTTGCGTGATGTTATTGTGTAGTCGCCGATGTGTGCGACTGTGATTATGTCGTAGTCGATGCGTTTAGTGTTTATCTAACGTCATTTGAGATGTGTGCTGTATGTGGTTCATGTGTTGAAGTTGGAGGTAGATGTTATTTGTGTGTGCTTGCATTTGTTGGTGTTTTTGGTTGGTTGCTCCGCTGATTTCGTATGGGTAACAGAGATAATGTGTTGCTTGGTGTGATAAATTGGGCGGATGCGTAAGACAGTTCGTTGCGATACTGTGCCGGTTGTGGAACATCTTCAGATTTCCTTGGTATCCTCACAATAATAGTGGTTTCCACTTCCTCAAACAGACACCAGCGCTGTTGCACAAATGGCTTCTCTTGTTGCCGCTTCGCGTTCCATCGTTTCAGTGCCATTGTAAATGATTCTTGCATAGCACACTCTGTTCGCATTTGAATTACATTTTTGTTGTCTAACCATGTTATTACTCATTAACTCGGTGCTTCTACTTCTGTTGATTGCAAGTACATGCAGATCTATACACCAGGTTGCCCGCGTGACGTCGCTTTGCTGCGTCTCGAGATTCTTATGTTGCTCATGATACTCATGTGCATTCAGTCCGGCAAAAAACATTTTGTGCATCTGGACACTTATCGCTGTACCGTCGTACGCATGTGCCGCATGCTGTGGTTAATGTTTCATACGCCATGCTTCTTTGCTACGGTTGGGTTACACTGAGTTACCATTATCCTATTTCCACCTCAATTCGCTTACTTTGCTTTGCTCAGTGCTTTTTTGTCACACATTTACTGTGCATTTCCCATATGGTACAGCGGTCCTTTTCTCATGTCTAGC